TTTACCCGGTCGGGTATGTCCATTTACCCGGTCGGGTAAATGCCCCAGGGTGTTGAAAACACCTATAAATAACCCCATTTTCCTTCACTTTTCATAATCCCTTCTTCCATACTCTTAAGTTCAGTTTAGAATAGTATTTCTTTTATATTTTTATAGCATGTTTAGTCTCCAAATGAGGAGCTAAACTTCCATTTCTTGGCGTTGCTCTTGAAGCTTGTTGATTATTAAAGTTGTGAGTTATTTTCTTAAACTTCTTTCCTTGAATATTAATTCTTCCTTTAAATACTATTTCTATATCAATGTTGGGGAGTGTTACTAAGATGACAATTAGTTAACATCTTGACATTGGTCTTAGTAATAGCTATTCCTTCCTCTATATTAATATTGGGGAGTGTTACTAAGATGACAATTAGTCAACAACTTGATATTAACTATAGTAGGATTCATTTTCTTTAATATTCTTCCTTGAGTATTAATTAATTCCTATTCATATTTCATATTAATATTTTGAACATTACTTAAAGGATCAACTAGTTTTGTTTCATATATTAATTATTATTACTAGAAACGATCAACGAACCGATGGTTAATCGTTGATAGTTTCACAAGTAAGTAACTTCGGTTTATTAATGCACGGTCGTGGTTAATAAACTTAAGAGGGATTAATTTTGTTGGTTAAACCGAAACCGTTGTGTTGAGGTTATCAATCTCAATTGATTTCATCAAGGAGTTAAAAGATTAAATGCTACTATCAAGTCGGTATATGGCGTTGTTCTATACTTGACTAATAGTAAGAGTTATTAATGAACGGTCGTTGTTAATAACTACCCTCGATGAATTGGATATACTCCTCGATTGAGTATTCGAGAGGAGATAAGTTATAGATATAACAATGATCGACTAAAATATATCAACAAGTGGAAAGTAGCAATGCCAAGTCCTTTTTTATCTTTGAATTAAATCACATATAACTCGTTCATCTTCGTGTTTAATTTAATTAAATCACTCAATCAAAACCCCCCCTTTATTTACTAGTTACATAAAAAGAGAATTATTACTTTCCCTGTGGATACGAACTCTACTACACTATACTACGTATAAGTGTTAGTATTGAATTTATTTTGAGTGCACACACGACAAAGTGCACGTCATTGATCATGATGTATGGCTAGTTTCTTGATGGATTAATTGCATGAATGCCCTTTAATTTTTGTTTGAATAATTTAACTGATATCTTTTGTAACCTGGAACGCGCGCTAGAATTACAATTGCTTGTAGAATAAATTAAGAGAGATCTAGTTTATTCTAGGACACCTTCACACACACTTAATCGTTCGCTAAGAGATTAGTAGCGATTAAGGGGCCGTAAGCTCGCTCGTCTTGGCAATAATTTAGGATTCTGTCGCATGAGAGATCAACCTAGTCCCATAATTTATTGTACTCTACGCCGCGAGAACGGTAAGAACTTAGTAGTGATTAGCTAGGCTCAATTAAATTAATTTCATGTAATTAGGCCTGATCAGCCAGAAATCTTGTTACCCCGGAATCAATCCCTGTTCCCTTCGTCATTAATTAGAAAGAACCCCCTAGTTTAATCATTTTATTCGCATTAGTTTTATTTTTCATACCAATCATATCTCGCACGACGCATTTATTTTATTTATTTATTTTTAATCTTTGATTCCCTTTTGTCCGTCCCTGTGGAGACGATACTCGTACTTACACCACTATATTACAATATATTTTAAGTGTGAGAAAACTCACATCACACTGCGCGCACCGAGGATGACTCCCAAGGCACCAACGACTTCGACAATTGGTGGGAGATGTATACCGATGGAGCCTCGAGTGCACGAGGATGTGGCGGAGGAGCAGTGATCACCTCCCCTGAGGGATTCAAGGCCTACTATTCTATGAAGTTCGAGTTCAAAGTCACCAACAACGAGGCTGAATACGAGGCGCTGATTGCAGGATTGAAATGCGCAAAGGCACTCGGAGCAGCTCGTCTGAAGGTAAGAATAGATAGCCAGCTGGTGGTTACCCAGATGAACGGAACGGCCGAAGCCAGAGAGGAGAGGATGAAGGTCTATAAAGAGCTGGCGGAGGAACAAACCGCGCAGTTCGAGCAAGTGATAATTGAACAGGTATCCCGGGTGGAAAATGCCGAGGCTGATATATTATCAAAGCTAGGTAATCCCCCGTCCGATGATCCGACGACGAGCATCCCCCGGCACATCAAAGGATTTGTGAGATGTGAGACGCTCCAAGTACCGGCGACGGAGACAATCCTGGTAGAGGCCATTTCCTTAGCCAAACCCAACTGGCTGAAGGAGATCGCGGATTACATCAAGGATGGAACCCTCCCCGAACCACCAGCTGATGGCAGCACGGGGAAGGCAGCATGGATCAAGAGACGTGCCCCGAATTTTGAGATCATCGGCGGCCAACTCTACAAGAAGACGTTCGGCGGACCGTATCTAAGATGCCTTCCGCCGAGCCTCGCTGCAGCAGTCTGGGAAGAAATTCATGAAGGTGTCTGTTCGAGCCACCAGGGCCCCAGAACTTTGGCTCGGAAAATCATCCTACAGGGCTACTACTGGCCCACAATTCAACAAGATTGCTACAACCACACCCAGAAATGTGCAGTGTGCCAACAGTACGCCCCCGTCCTAGGGCGGCCAGCGAGTTTCTACACCCCGACGACCATCTCCCTGCCCTTTGCGAGATGGGGAATCGACTTACTGGGACCTCTACCCAAGACGACTGGCGGACGGAAGTTTATCATAGTGGCGATTGATTACTTCACCAAATGGGTAGAGGCTGGGCCTCTGGCCACTATCACTGAATATCAATGTCAGAGGTTCGTCTGGCAAAACATCATATGCCGCTTCGGAATCCCGGAGCAGATCATCACCGACAAGTCGACAACGGCCGGCAGTTCGTCAGACGCGGATTCGAAGGGTACTTGGCCAAATGGGGCATCAGACACTCAAAAGCCTCGGTGGCTTACCTGCAGGGCAACGGTCAGGTGGAGAACATGAACCTGACCATCATGGAGGGAATCAAGAAGAAGTTGGAAGACTATGCATCCATCTGGCCCGAGCAACTCAACTACATCCTATGGACGTACAGAACAACCCCAAGGACTGCCACAGGGGAGATGCCCTTCGCCTTAGCCTATGGTTTCCAGGCTAAGGTGCCCACTAAAGTACTGGTACCCACACACCGTACTAAGCACTACCAACCAGAAGATAATGAGGCCACCTTATGAGCGGAGCTCCATTTCTATCGTGGATCGAACTCGATGCCCCACTAAAGAGCCGCCGTTTCGGACGTGCGGCAATACTCAGAAAACCGTCAGAATTTTGGGGGGTGAGGCGGAAAAAGTAATGGAAGATTTCCAAGGTGGCGGTAACCCCCCTGTCCTTGCAACGGACGCGGAATGCAGAGATGAACCGATAAGAGTTAGACATAAACTGTGCAGGGCCACTTGGAAACAGCAGAAGAACTCCACATAGAATGGGTGGAGGGGAAACCGCAGCCCGGCTTCAATGGAGTCCAAGTGCACCATGACCATCCCCGGACGTCTCCGCATCATATGGGATGCGCCTCGGAGGCTGTAGACGAACGGGGGAGGAAAGTATACCTTAATCTTGTTTAGGGCTACAGCCGAGAAAACCTGCTCATGCCCAAGGACATTCTTGATTGGGCAGATGTGGCGGTCCACATCTATTTTTAACCCCAGGTCAAACACTTCCAGATCAGATCCATCCACGGCCTCAGCACCCGAATCATAGCCCGCTGGATGTTCATCCCTGGGGGCCGCGCTTTGATTCCCTATATCATCCACTTGGTCCACCACCTCTAGGACCATGTTGTCCCCATGGCCTGCAGACGTGGCAGCCTCTTCGGCGTTAAATACGACGGCGTTATTAGGAACACCATCTTCCTGTATGGTGCCCACGGTCGAGGCCGAACCAGAACTACCTGAAACGCTAGCCTTGTTGGAGGAGCGTGGGGAGGAACCGGAGCCAGAGCCTGAACCGGAACCAGAAGAAGAACCTGAGGAGGAGCCCGAAGAGCTAGAGCCGGAATCCGAAGAGATCTCCATGGGGGCCACGGGAAGGATCAGAAAGAGATTACAAAGAAGGGAGAAGAAAACCTAAATTACCTTGGGTTAGTAGAAAACGAACTAAGGACCTTGCGGACGAACAGAGCACCAAGCAGCAGGGATTCCAGAGCGAGAAAGCAGAAATCGGGAACCCTAATCCTAAGGGAAACCCCAGTATTTATAAGGGAAGCACCGATTCAGGGGCCAACGAGGAGATGACACGTACTGAGGAGCGTACCTGGGTGCACGCGCTGCGCGTGGGATGGGAGCGTAATGATGGCCTTTTCCTCGGAAAATGCACCGTTCTACAGCAGCCGTCACCTCGATTCCTGAACCGCCACCAACTGGTAAGCACCGTGGCCATGAGCGTCCACCTTCCCAGAACGCAACAAGCACAAAGTCCCACGCCACGAGCGTCTTACCCCTGAAGAGCATTATACTTCTTTATGTCCTGTGCATGCTCAGAACATCAGAAGTGGGGGACTTGTGTTGGGTTAATGGCCCAAATAGGGGCCAGCCCATTTACCCCCTCACTCGGACGAACGTCCAGACAGGACTCTGGGTGGGCTAAGTTAACAGGGGAGTTGGCAAAGACGAACGTCGCAACCAAGACCTTGGCTTACCAGCCCATTCCCGTCCCACCTAAGTCTTCGTCCCTAGCGTTGTTTGAACCACCATCTTCCTCGTTCACAGCCCACCATTTCCATCCTCCGTCACAAGCTCCATCTTCTTCATTCACAACTTCTGTGTTTCTTCCATTTCCGTTGTTCGTCGTAGGTAAGTATCTTCCAAACCTCCGTCATTTCCGGTCACTTCTCCATCCACCATCAAATATGCTAGAAAATCATCCATTATATCTTGAAAAAGAAAATTAAAAAATAGAGAGATAGGTGAGAAGCAGAGAACGAAGAGAGAGATGTGGGAGAGAAAGAAAATGTGCGTGACGGATGAGGAGGGGAGGGCTGTCTGAGAGGAGGGGTAAAGAAAGCAGTAAGGTGTATCCAAGTGTGTACAAGACTTTTTGTTTCTTGACTTGCTCGCACAGATGCTTCTGCACCGGTACCGACTCAACCGCAATAACATGCCCGTCCCTCTACTACGCGTTCTAGCTGTCATTCTCTGTTGGGTACCCCCGCTGGTTCGTTCGCATTACCACTGGCCGTCCAGCACTGCCCCTCTGCAATCTGAGTGGCGGTCGGCGCGTGCCACCTTCTACGCTCCGGCGGATCCACGGGACGTGGTCGGCGGTGCTTGCGGGTTTGGTGATTTGGAGAAGGGAGGCTACGGCAAGGCCACGGCTGGGCTGAGCACCGCTCTGTTCGATAGGGGTCAGATCTGCGGCGCGTGCTTCGAGGTCAGGTGCGTGGACGACACGCGCTGGTGCATTCCGGGAACCTCCATCATTGTGACAGCGACAAACTTCTGCGCTCCCAACTACGGGTTGGAGTCCGACGGCGGAGGCCATTGCAATCCGCCAAATGCTCACTTCGTGCTACCAATCGAGGCCTTTGAAAAGATTGCTATTTGGAAAGCTTCAAACATGCCCATTCAGTATCGCAGGTTTGTACTATCTTGATCTCATTTTATGCAACATGTTTTCCACAATAGGGGTCTATAATATTTCACTTATTAAACTCTCCAACATGTTTTCCCCAAGAGTTACTTTAGTCCTCGAAGTTGCAAAAAAGGGTCAAATAAGTCCTTATAAAAATTCTGTCCGGACGTCCATTTGAGGTGGCTCCCGGTGGAATTTTTTAATTGATTTTTTTGAGCATCTTATTCATTAAGTCTAGTTTACTCATACCAAATTTCAGATAAAAATTCAATTGGGAAGACATTCAAATGAATTCTTGAAGATAACTGTGCCGTTAAAAGCGCAGCTATCTTCAAGAATTCATTTGAATGTCTCCCCGATTGAATTTTTAGCTGAAATTTGGTATGAGTAAACTAGACTTAATGAATAAGATGCTCAAAAAAATTCATCAAAAAATTCTACCGGGAGCCACCTCAAATGGCACGTCCGGACAGAATCTTCTATATAAGGACTTATTTGATCACTTTTTTGCAACTTCGAGGACCAAACTGACCCTTTACTCTTTTTATTATTATTATGAACTAGATTTCATAATAATAAAACACATGTGAGAATCACGTGTAATTTATCTATTTCCATCGTGTAAAATAAAACTTCTTTAGAAAGTAATTTAAAACTTTTCATTTTGTACGGGTACATATTTATTAATGCAACCATGTTTGTTGTACCCAACACTTTGTACCCACCTTATACCTATCTGTGAAGGCTATTTTTTTGTTTGTGAAGTCGGTTCACAGACAAAATATATCTTTGAATTCCTTCACAGACATATTTTGTCTGTGAAGGAATTCACAGACAAAAAATATAACTTCACAAACATGGTTGGGTACAAAAGTGGGTACAAACATCATTTTCCTTATTAATGTGCATAACTGCATGGTACATTTTGTTGTTCTAAATATTATACTAGTACTAGACACTAGTATTGGTTTTCATGATCATAGGACAGTTAAGACTTGTGTTGATTAGCCGTGTGTAAAAAAAGCAGTGCTATAAAGATGTTTTTTTTTTGACTGAAATTTGTTGGTCCGATCTGATCTGGTATGGATTGATATGTTCATGTCTGGTCTGATATGGTAAACGTTTGATCTCTGTGTATTTTATAAATGTTCAAGTCTGGTATGGTTTGGTCTGATCTGTTTAAGTCTGGTCTGGTCTGTTTAAGTCTGATCCGATCTAATTTGGGACTGAAAGCAATCCAAAAGAAAACATCCTAAGCTCATGCTTACTTCACAGGATTGAAAGCACCGTTTAACATTAAAATGTCCAAAATATCCCTATATATATATAGACACACAAACATTCGTGTACACAAGTATATAATATAATATGTGAGGGCCACTTGTACGCGTGCCCATACCCTTCCCTACCCACCCCTTAACCTACCCCTACCATGACCTTACCCCTACAGGCCTACCACAACCTTACCTCTACCACCCATGTAAGCGTACACATACATACCCCTGCACGATAACCCCTATCCGCCCTAACCTTACCCCCTACCCCCCGATTCCAACCCTACCCCTACCCATGGTGGGGTAGGGGAGGGTAGTTGTAGGGTGGGGGTAGGGTAGGGGTACGTGTATAGGTAGAGGAAGTAGGGTATGGGGGAATGGGTCGGGGTGGGGTCTAGGTAATCTAAGATAACGGTGGTAGGGGTGGGGTAGGGGCAGAGCCGACTCAATAGATTAGAAGACCCGGTGCAAATCACGTAAAGTAGGCCTTATATTAGATAAATATAATATAAAAAGCAGCCTTTAAAAAACCAAAAGAGATATTACTCGAAATAGGACTAAAAGAGTTTAAAAATTCCAAAATAGGACTGCCATGTTTTTATTCCCAAAATAGGACTAATTACTGCCATGTTTTGGCAGTATCAGACTTCAAACATGACAGTATTTTCCAAACTTGACAGTAATTACTCCTATTTTGGGAATAAAAACATGACAGTCCTATTTTGGAAGTTTCAAACTTTTTTAGTTCTATTTCGGGAACTTTCCCAAATAAAAATAACCCAAAAAAGACTACAATCAAATGTGACATTGAGATATAATCATATTTCAAACATGAATAACCAAAATCGTATACAAAAAACTAAAACCGAAAAGAAATGAATTAAAATCATGAACTAAAACAAAGAGTAGGATATTACTGAAAAAACTACTCCCTCCATCCCTTAAAACCAAGCTCGTCCAAACTTGAGAAATTTGTGCTAATTACTATAACTAGGCCTTATCCAGGCCTTATGTAATCAAGGTAGTCAAAGTCGTGAGGCGCACTCAAGGCGATAGGCTATACCCAGCGCCTGAAGCGCAAGGCGCAAAAAAGCGCTCGCCTGACTCGGGTGAAACGCACTTCTTAGATAAAATCACATATACTATTCTATAATTACCAAATATGATGTATGTAACATCATATTGACCCAAATGCATAAAAAAGCTAGGATTCATCAAAATAAAGTCATGATTCACAAAAATTAGGATCTTTTTTGTTAGCCAAGTAGTTGTGTTTCCAAGCTGGGTCTTTTTTGTAGAGTTTTCACTTTCAGCACCCCTGCAGCACTTGTTCCACCTTCCATACCCTGGAAAAGCACAAAGCTGGAATTATTTAATAATTAATACACCGGAAATCATCTTTGGAAAACCACAAAGTAGAAAATATATAAAATATATTTATGGGCCAAACACTCAAATATGGCTGCTCAATAATGGAAAAACACAAAGCTGGTTGTGTGTTTATCATGTTCTTTTAGTTTTCCATCTGTGTTTGTCATCTTGTGTGTTGTAAAAGGTGGTTATCAACTTTGAAAAACATGTTATACTCAGCCCTTTGTTAATAGCCATGTTTTACTCTAGTTGGGTCAAACAGAGTAATATCTTTAATCTTTATAAAACACAAGAGTGACACTAGTGTAATATGAGTATTTGGATGAAGAGGACTGCATGAAAAAGAAAACATACCTTGTTTAGTGCTAAGAGGGAGAGCTGAGTTTGCTTGAGATGATGATGAAAGCTTAAAGAACTGGTTGGTGTAGAGCAGCTTCAAGTGAGGAGAGCGAGGATGACTAGCGATGATAGCAGTAGTGTCTTGCGCAAGTTTTACATGTTTACTTACATAGACTCTTAGTTTTACGTAGGTTTTTCGGTTTTTACCCAGATATTTTCATGGGCTTAGTGTTATTAAAGATATGGGCTAATTGTATTTAAAAGTTTTAAACAAAAAACAGGCTGTCAGCCCTTTTCCAGCCCAGGCGGCCCAGGCGTGCGACTTGCAGCGCTTCAGCGCTTGATGCGCTTCATGCGCCTATGCTGCGCCTTACCCTGGTACGTGCGCTTCACCTATTTCCAAGCGCTGGGGGGTGTGCTCGCTGCGCCTTGTGCGCTTAAGCGCTGAGGCGAGCGCTTTTGACAACCATGTATGTAATAAAGAAAGTGCACATTTATAATTAACAATTGCATTTTAATTACATATATATTAGTATTTAATATTTGTATTTAACAACAAAGTACTAAAATAGGAATCTTTAATCAAATAAAAAAGGATTATGTATATAATGTAGACTATATTTAAAATTTTGAGCCTTCTGAATATAGAGGCCTTGTGCGGCAGCACTTCTTGCACGCCCTCATCTATGGCCCTAGGTAGGGATAGGGGTAACAGTAAGGATGTTTTTACTTGGACTGTAATTTGCTGGTCTGGTCTGATCTGGTCTGGTCTGGATTCTTTGTATTTTTATAACTACTCAAGTCTGGTCTGGTTTGGGACAAATTACAGTCCAAGTAAAAACATCTTAAGATGTAAGGGCAAGGTTTTTTAAGCAGCCAACTTAGTATTAGATTTTGGGTGTGTAAGTTACCACGATTGTATGTATTAACCCAGTGTAGTATTAAATTGCTACCACTCAATATGTATTATGTATTAAAAAATAAAGTTAATTTTACAACTAATGTTCCTAAATTTTGGGTGTGTAAGTTACCATAATTATTGATAGTTAATGCTCCTATTTTTTGCATGCCAAGTGACGTATCTTTCTACACATGGTTGTCTTATTCTCATTAAACACACGTTACTAACAAATCATTCTATTCTGATTTGATTGTTGTTTAGTATCCTATTTCTCCTATGAGATTGACTTTTTAGGATTGTGATTTCATTTCTAGAGTAAATATTTCAATTTGGACCCTTAGACTTCTTAATAATATTAATGATGAATCCATCTTTTTAATACTCCGTAATAAAATACTAGCCGAATCAGACTAAGCTCAGCCCAGTAGAAAAGTAGAAATCTGGTAAATTGATGGTACAAAATAGTTTTTTTTTTTTTTAAGTATAATTTTTTTTTTAACAAAATGTTATGGAGTAATTGTCTCGTTTTTTTAGTGTAATACATATGGAGTTACATATGATTTTCTTACATTAAAAAAATTTATCATGGTTCCATCAATCATCTGATCACTAAACTGAACAGTCTTGCAATTCGAGGGACTAAGAGCATCTTCAATGCTACAATGTGCATGGTGCACATGTGGCATGAGAGAGATAGACACAAGAAATTAAATTTTTGATATTTCTCTCTCTTTCTTTCCACGGTTTTATGTGTTTTTAGTAAGTTTTTCTTTGCAATGTCAATCACGGTGTCTACATCTAGATATTGTGCTCGACATTGTGGAGAAAAACTTACCAAAAACACATAAGACCATTCAAATAAGGAGAGAGATATTCTATTTGTTATTTTTTAATTGGCTATCATTCATGCCACGTATGCACCGTTCACGCTTTTGCATTGGAGATGCTCTAAGTTGTCTACATTATTAATAAGTAGGTCTTAATTGACTATAAACGCAAGGGAACTTTTTCTGCCACCTCCCTATGGTTGCAGACATGCAGGATCAAAATGCAACTTCCTCCTCTTGTGTGGCATTCTTGATACAGCCTATAAACCATTTCTTTTTTGGTTGGTTGATTTCATCCAGCAGAATAAAGTGCAGAAAGGAAGGAGGAGTGAGGTTCACCATAACAGGTGCTGGGATCTCTCTGACAGTGTTAATAAGCAATGTTGCTGGTGCGGGGGATATAGTGACAGTGAAGATTAAGGGTCCAAGAACTGGATGGCTGCCTATGGGCAGAAACTGGGGACAAAATTGGCACATAAATGCTGACTTGAGGAATCAGCCTCTTTCATTTGAGTTGACCACTAGCGATCGGGTCACCCTTGCTTCTTATAGTGTTGCTCCCAAGAACTGGAACTTTGGGCAGACCTTTGAAGGTAAGCAGTTCGAACTTTGAAGCTTAATTAAGACGTGGCTGGGCAATGAAGGATTCAAATATAAGTCTTTAAAATGCCACTGTTTTGTGTGTTCATGTTTATGTGTGTGGCTAATTGTAATTACAAATTCCAAACTGTGCTTAGTATATGAATTCTTCCACACTGTCAACATTTCTAAATCTTCGAGTTGTGTCCTTTATAGTTTATATGCATCCCGTGATTTTTTTCCCAAATGAATGATTATATAATCAAGGAAACAGACTTGAAGAACACTTTTATCATTGCTGTTATCAAATTCAAAGTCAATAAGATCTTATGCAAATATGCATTTAATAAATACATAGTTTTAATTACCAAATCTTTACAAACAATAAACATGAATGATAGTAAGGTTATCTTTACAAACAATAAACATGAATGATAGTAAGGTTATTTTGGATATAAAAAAATTGTTTGTGTAACATAGATCTTTATGAAAATGTACCATAGGCTCAAGCTTTTGTACCTTTTCCTTTGTTTATGCGTCAACAAACGTCTACCACCGTTAGTACAACCTCACCAGCCCTCACTCCACTCTGTGCCCTGCATCTCCCTTTACCGGCTTTACGTTCCACAGAACTTTGTTTATGCGCTAAGAAGAAACTCCTCCTGGCTCTCACACAGCTTCTTCCACTTCATCTTCTCCCTCATGTAAATTACTGTTTTCCTTATAACAATGATGACTGCATTTTAAGATGTCATTCAATATGCTGAAAATCCCTAGACACTCGTAACACCCCATTATTTCCCTCTTCTATGTAGCCCCACTTATATATGTGTTCACCAATCAGAAACTTTTTCTTCAGGTGCTCATCACTCTTCTCCCAGTACGCTTTTTAGTCTCTGTTGTTTTGACTAACAAAATATTCCTGGGGATAGTATTTGTGATAATAACTACTCCCTCCGTCCCAGAATTAACTTCGGTTTTGACTGGGCACGGAGATTAAGAAAGTGGGAAATGTGTGGTGGAGAGTTGTGCAGAGGAGAGAGAAATGTGTAAGAATGGTTGTGAACCACAAATCCTTTGCTAAAAAAGGAAAGATGAGATAAATTTGGGACGGACCAAAAAGGAAAGAATGAAGATAATTATGGGACGGAGGGAGTATATGCATATATTAATCATATTTTCCTTTTGAGGGTCATAACTTACGAATTTCACATGTTCAACAAAAGTCTAACTATAATATCATTTACTATGTCATTATATACTCATCTTCTGTTATACGAATGTAATATACTCCATATATTGTTTCAATCACTTAATGATACACACATTAGAAAAATTGTATTAATTACCTTTACCATGATTGGTTTAGGATCTCCAATGCACTGTTCTTAAATTGTAAAGCTAATGTATGATAATATTTAATTTCATGGTCTTCATGAGTAATTGAGTATGCAGAAACTTGAATACATGTAGTATTGTTAAATAAATTGTTGAGATTCTTTCACGAAACAGGTCAAATAATGCATAAAAATTGTGTAGTTCAATTAAGTTTCTTTAGGCTACATTGTAATGTACTCCCTCCGTCCCATAAGATTGTTCCCGCATTGACTTGAAAGGGGAATAAAGTGGAAATGTATGATTGTGGTTGTGTAAGAAAAAAGGTAAATGAATGTGAGCCACACAAAACTTTCTAAATGGGGAAATGAGAACTATTTTTTGGGACGGTTCAAAAAGGAAACCGGAAATTATTTTGCGGGACGGAAGGAGTATGTTTTCTTCTTACTTGTCATGATCTAGCAAAGCTACGAAGTCAATTTGCTATCTTGCAAAGTTTTATTGTAGCTTTGACATTTTGGTGTACTCTTTTATTTTTAGCTTTGCTATCTAGCAACCTACAAAATCAAGTTCCGATACACTAGCGGACTAGCAGTACAACTAATAACCAGCTCCAACTCTCCAAGTGAATAAATGAAATGCAGTGAAGTACTCATTAACCTCTTGTAAGGCTAATGGATTACGAAGCCTTTAATTTATTAATCCACTCTTACAAACATCGTTTTTAATCCACTCAGTCGGTGTTTCTCTACCGACTACCCCACCAAGAAGGATTTAACCCTAAGTGACTAGGTTACTGTTACTATTAAAATATTGCTTGGTTTGATTACCGATACCAAACAATTACTCGGATTGAATCCGATACCAAACAATTACTCGGATAAAATCTGGTACCAAACAACTGTTGGGATTAAATCCGGTACCAAACAATTACTTGAATTGAATCGATATCAAACAACTACTCGAATTAAATCTGATACCAAACCATTACTCGGATTGAATCCGGTACCAAAAAATTACCCGGATAGCCCAAAAACACACTTCTTAGATCTAGGATCTAACTTATCAGTTTTTGATGAACATAGGCAGCACACCCAAACGCCCTAAGGTTAGATAGGTCAAGAGGCCCACCAGTAAACTTAACTTCAAGGCATTGACCTCCAATGGGAAAAGAGGGAGACTTATTTATCAGATAGGTGGTAGTGTTAACTGCTTCACCCCAAAACTTCTTAGGCAAACCCGAGGTAGACAACATACTTCTAACCTTATCTAGAAGAGTTCTATTCATCCTTTCGCCACCCCATTCCGTTGAGGGGTGTAGGGCACAGTCTTATGTTTCCTAATGCCAGAAGAGGCACCCAGTTGGTCAGGTTCTTTGTTACAGAATTTCAGGCCATTATCAGTCCTAAGGATTTTTCACATTCTTTCTTGTTTGATTTTCTACAAGTAACTTTCAAGCCTTAAACTTCTCAAACACATCAGACTTATGTTCTAGAAGACAGACCCACACTTTCTTAGAGAAATCATCAATCAAAGACAAGAAATACCTTTTACCCCCATAGGTAGGAACACTAGTAGCCCCCCAAACATCAGCATGCACATATTCTAGCACAAAAGAGCACTTAGTCACATTTGGTCAAGGGGATAGAAGAAATTGAACTCTATGTTGTTTACCAAGCACACATGATTCACAGAAAGTCAAAGAGTTCACAGAGTCTTTACCAAAGTAATCATGTTAGTGCATGATGCCTAAACCCTTGTTGGTCATAGGTCCTAGCCTATTATGCTACAACAAAGTCTTATCACCATATACAACATTCACAGAGTTCGTATACGGTCTAGCATGGCACACATAAAGGTTATTCACCTTTTCAGCTTTAAACAACACAAGAGAATTTTTCAAAATTTTCATACAACCATTACCCCATTTTCCCTCTAATCCACTACCCTCCAAGGCAGCAACAGATGACAAGTTATGACACAAATCAGGGACATGTCTCACATTCTTGATAGTAAACACAGAACCACAAGAAAACTTAAGACATATATCACCCACGTCCAACACATTGCATCTCTTATTATCAGCCAATGGAACATAACCCATATCACATTGCTCATATTTAGAAAAAAACCCTAAAAAGAGTCATATGATAGGTGCAACCAGAATCAATCAGCCATTCATGCTCAGTCAAGGTATTTCTTACAGAATTGACATGATCACTGACCATGAGAACCTCACCTAGTTCAACTCTCTCTATGGCTACATTAGCCTGCTCAGCTTCTTAGGATGGGGACATTCCTTAATAAAGTGTCCAGAATTGTCACAGTTGTAGAACACACGTTTTCTAGACTTATTTCTCTTATTGCCATTTTGGTTACTATTCTTAGTTTGGGCTTCCTTTTTTTTTTTTGAGAAAAGACAATTTTATTCATAACAATAAAAAGTACAATGCAAGCAGCCAAATAAAGTAAAAAAGAAAAACATAAAAGAAAATACAGAGCAAAAAAAGAAAAAACTAGACACAAGGGAAATCTCTGGATTGCGATCTAGTCCTCATGATATGCCGCCTTTTGTTTTGTTGAGATTTCATGTAAAGTTTTAGTTGTGTGTTCAGGTTGTCTGTTGGCAGACAATTTCCAGAGGTGACGAACTTTGATTTACGGCAAATTGTTCTGTTGAATTTGGAGTTCCCAATTTCTTCCTGATTTGATATAGGAGGAGGAGGATCGCTTTCAGTTGCGTGTCTTAAAAAATCGTCTGAGAAGAAAGAGTCGTCGGAATGGTCAAAGCTGTCTGATGCATCAGAGTATGCCTGGATAAGTGGAATTTGTGGTTGTTTCTCAAAAGCTGGTCTTAGCTTGGGCTTCCTGTTTATGTTTTTTTGGATCTACTCTTAGATCTACCCCTCACAAACATAACCTCACCACAATCCTTGGGTTGACTATTATTACTCCTGGTATGCTTAAGGTCAAGTTCCTTACTCTTAAGGTCATTCACAATAATATCTAGGGTGACATCATCTCTACCATATTTAATAGTAGATTTCACATCATTATACGAATCAGGAATAGCATTAATAACACAACATCAGTATAGCCATCAATGTGCTTATCACCAGATTGTTTGATATTCTGAATCGGTTTATTAAAAATATCCAAGTTTTCATCAATATATTTGAATGGGTCTAGCCTAAATCGAAAGCATTTTTCAAGAAAAAATAGTTTACCAGGGACAGAAGTATCAGTGTAAAGAGTTTCTAACTTATCCCACAACTTCTTAGCAGGATCTAAGATACCAACCTTTCTAAGCACAAAGTCAGATAGATTAAGGTAAATAGTAGAGCATGCAGTTTCATTCATTTCAGCTTTCTTAGCACTATCATCAGAATCCAAGTAAAGTTCACTCGCAGCTCTGAAACCCTTTTGCTGAATTAAAAGTAATTTAAAATAGATTTGATCTTTTGTTTCCAAATGTCAAAATCAGTTTTTCCATTAAAAGGGAGCATACCATACATGTTGGCAGACATGGCAACACACAACAGAATGAACACAACGAGGATATAGAAGATGAACAGAAGAGCAGAGAACCACGCACACAGAGAGACAATAACCAAGGAGCTAGGGTTCACCAGTGTACCCGGCAGCGGGCTGACAGGCCACGCAGATCCGAAGGTCACTGGATTGGCTGACAGGGAACCTGTCAGTCCTAACCTCAGGTGCCGAGTCACACAGATAATATTCCTAAGTCACAAGGATACCAGACAGAATCAAGGAAAAGAAAAAGCAAATAAAACATGCGAGGACAGAATCACCAATTACAAGTTCAAACCCCAACAAGAGAAGGGAGAAAGCACAGAGATCAGACACAAGGGACCGAAAGAGAAGAGAAAGACAATCTCTCCCTATCTCTTTAACCTCGTTCTCTATATACGAAGACCTGAAGTCTCAAAAAGAGAACAAATTAAAAGGAGCTTAAGTACCGAGGGGCAGTGGGGGAACCCTAATAAAGGGT